TGGTCGGGGCTGTTGAAAGTGGGGAATCGCGAGGCGAGGTTGTTGTAGACGGTGGCAAGCTGGCCAACGACGGGGGTATCATCGCTGAATACGTTGTTGAGCTCTGGTATGACTGCGCAAAACTCAGAGTTGTTTGTGATGAGGCATTCGGCCATCGATCTGAGCACGCCATCATTCCAAGATTTATACTTACTATACATATCGCAAGCCATTTTGTGAAAGCCGATGAGAAAACCCCAATCTTCAATGCCTCTGAGCTGAGCTAGAAGACTTGTTGCCTTGGCGGTGCGAGGGGTATTCTCGAGAGCTTGTTGGGGTAGCGCTGAAGTGGGCTTGACAGGCGTGGTAGGGTCCGCAACCTGCTTCGACTGGGGGCTGCGATGATGCACATAAGGGTGGGATTTGAAAAAAGAATCGAGAAACTCGTAGATGCGATCCAGAGGCCATTTGGTACGTTCGAAGTGGCTGAGTCGATCATGCAATATTGCAGAGACTTCGAGAACAAGAGGTGATGATGTTGAGACGATCTGGTTGTCATCAGGAGATAGCGGAAGTAATTTGTTGAGCTGAGACCATTGTTCTTCGAAGCCTGACAACTGTGCTTTGCTGCTGCTGGAGCTTGGCGGATGCGAGGGTGGTGAAGACGACATGATGGAACGGTGAAGCCCAAGCACGCTAAATGCTAGCCGATATTGAGTAGACGTAAGATTGCGGCAAGAGAAAGCGTGTTGTGATGGTGGTTATGGTCATGGTGGTTATGGTCATGGTGGTTATGGTGATGTTGATGAATCCAAGCTGAGCTTTGATGTTACATGCGCACCGTACAAGCAAAGATTTACAAGATAGCTATCAGACTTTCTCGTGCGGCTAGTATTCGCGCGAGAAGATATCGATCGAGCATTCTCGTGCGGCTAGTATCCGCACGAGAGAGTCACCCAGGCGTGACACATGGAGCCTCGCACGGTCCAACGATTTCGGTGAATTTGGCAAGACACTTGGCCTCGCCTCCCCGCATACCTCACCCCTTGTGAACTCTCCACCACCATCATCTTGCTTGCTTGATTGCTTGCTTGCTAGCCTCTTGCACCTCCTCGCTAGCACCGCAACCATGTCCTCCACCAACGCAGATCTATACGATCTGACGATCCAATCCCACCTCATCGTAGAATCCTTCCTTCTCTCGCAAAACTACACTTGCACAGCCTCGGCCTTGCGCTCGGAAGCCCTTTGCTCGGGTCTCTGCCTCGCTTCGCTTCGCTCTTCCTCCTCCACCCTGGACCCAGCACTGGACCTCCGCCATCTGGTCGAATCATACAACTCGACTCTCCGGGCAAAACAAGGTTTAGAAAAAGCATCCCAACTCGCCTCGACCTATTCCACCTCAACCACCGTCGACCCCCTCAGCCTCCCGCTTCCTGGTCCATCCACACTTGCATTCAAACTGGAACGCACACATTCCGCGCTCCACGCTTCCAACACCCTTTCCATCTCTAAGCTGCTTCTGCTGAGGCGGAGGTTTGACACGAGCTCGGCTAGATATGTGAATAGGTTAAAAGAGACGCTGGTGACGAGTGGAGCAGATAGACGAATCGTGTTCTCGGATCCTAAAACGGGCGAGATAGAAGAGATATTGGAGGACGGAAAGGAGGGGCATCAGGCGGCAGTGTTGAGTGTAGCACAGGATCCGAGTGATGTGCGATGTGTCGTGAGCTCAGGGATGGATGCGAGGGTGGTGGTGTGGGATGTTGTGAGGAGAAGAGTTGTGCAGGTGTTGAGGGAGCATGGTAGATTTGTTGTTAAAGTGGCGTTTAGTGGTAGTGGAGAGTACTTGGCTAGTATTGGTTATGATAAGAAAGTAGTTGTGTACCGACGGACGAAACGTACCGCTTTTGCTGCCTCGCAAGGAGAGCAAGAGGAGAAAGAGGAGAAAGAGGAGAAAGAGGAGCAAGAGGAGAAAGAGGAGAAAGAGGAGCAAGAGGAGCAAGAGCAAGAGGAGTTGCAAGGAGAACGTTATGTGAAAGTGTGGGAAAAGGAAACGCAAACCAACCCGGAAAGCATCCTTTTCATCCGTGCTTCCCCCTCCCCCCCCACCGACGAAGATGAGCAAGGTATAGTGCAACGGGGTGGAGCGGAGAAGGGAGAAGTGGTGGTTAGAGAAGCAAAACAAAAACGAACTTGGCTATACTATACAGTGAGAAACGATTCTTTCATCCATTACCTCTCCCTTCCTCTTTCCGCCGACTGCGACACGGCTCCCGACTTATACACTACTGCAACCGCCATCACCCCCACCCCAGACTGGACAGTGGTTAGCTTGAACACCAACCCAAACGCTCTCGATCTGCACGTCTCGTACTCGCTGCTCTCCCTATCTCTCCACCCCTCTGGTCTCTATATCTGCATCCAAACCGGCGACCAGACCGGGCCTACATGGCGCGCGTCCACATCATCAAACACGGCTGGCTCACTATCTCGGCTGCTGCTTCTCCCGCTACTAAGCGGGAAAAGAGCAACAACCGTGTGGACTGGCGTTGCAACCAGCTCCTACGCCGTACCTAGGCATAGCTGGCTACCAAGTGGAAGAGCAGTTTGGTTGAACGGCGAAGATGGGATTGTCAGTCTGGTGGATGTTAAGGGTCGAATACGAGCTCGAGTTGCTGCGCACGGAATAGCATCAAGTCCCGATCGAGGCGAGAGGCAAGCAGCTACAAGTTGGACTAGAGGCGGAAATACAATTGTCAAGGACTTGGTTGTGTTGGGTGAAGGAGAGGTAGCTAGTTGTGGTTTCGACCGTACTGTTCGAGTTGTCGCTATTGATTCTGGTGTTTTAGCATAACCTCTCTCGTATAGTACATTCATCACGAACGGTCTGGTGTAAGAAATGTCGTTGTAAGCAAAATTTTACAAGTAGTGAGCTGAGGAGCGAGGGGTTTAAAGCTTGTTAGAAGGTTCTCCAGGCATCCCAACGGCAGTGTGCAATTTTTCATAGATCTGATGACCATGGCTAGGCGGAGTAAAGTTGACATGTGTAGCCAAGGCTCTAGCATCGACCATTTCGGGGACTACATCCTTCAGTGTTGCAGCTCCCAACAATCTCATATTCATCTCCATTTCCGCCTTGAGCAATTGAATCGCATGAACGACGCCATCACTAGCGTATGCTGAGTAGGCATACAAAAATGGCCTTCCAATTCCGACGGCGGTAGCACCCATAGCTACAGCCTTCAACACGTCGGATGCACGCCTGATACCGCCATCGACAAAGATCTGGAACATGGGATTTGGGAACAACCCCCTTGCCTTGAATGCCTCTACCACTTCGGCTAATACTTCGATTCCAGAGCGGGCGAAATCGAGTTGTCGACCACCATGGTTGGAGAGTACAACACCGGAAAGACCGAGTTGAGCGGCTCGAAGCGCGTCTTCCCATGTCTGAACGCCTTTGAGCACGATAGGCATTCGAGTTAGGCTTCGGAGCCAAGTCAGGTCGTCCCAGGAGAGAGATGGGTCGATGAAAGAAGAGATGGCGCGGGCAGCACCTTGGGAGCGATCGAGGTTGTCTTTGTTCTTGTTTTGCATGTCGCTTCCTACGTCGTCGAATTTCATCCTCATATCCTTTTCTCGGCGACCGAGCTGGGGAGCGTCGACGGTAACGAATAAAGCTTTTACACCTGCAGCTTCGGCTTTGGCGATGATCTTTTCAGTGATGGAACGCTTCGAGTTGACGTAGAGTTGCATGAATTGAACTTGCTGCTCGTTGACTCGTGCACCGACGATTTCGTCCAAGCTGCAGGAAGCGAGGGTGGGGATCATTTGAATGATTCCTTGCTTACCAGCGGCGACGGTTAAGTTTTTCTCTCCGTCCGGATGACCGAGCTTACCGAGGGCAGTGGCTGTGATGTAGACGGGAAGAGTAGATTTCTGACCCAGGAGGGAAGTGGAGTAATCGATCTTGGAGACATCTCTCAAGATACGAGGTCTAAACCAGATGCGAGCGAAAGCAGAAGTATTCTCTCGCATCGTAACCTCATCATCCGCACCTGAAGAGTAGTATGCCCAAGCAGTGGGCTTTAATAGGCGCTTAGCAATCACCTCAAAGTCGTAGAGGTTGAGGCATTGAGAGAGTGGAGGGATTCCACCATGGTCCTTTTGCTTAGCGAGTTGTTTGGCGGGATCAGATTCGTTCTTGATCTCTTTGGTGATGGTGGACGGGTCTACGGGACCAAGACACTTTTCTTTGGCAAGGTTTTCTTCGAGTGTACCGGGTGGATGGATTGGGTCATATTCTTCAGTGGCGTCCTTGCCAGCGTATTTGAGAATGATACCTGCTCCTCCGGGATGGTCGGGAAGGAACTCGGTAAGGTCGTATGCGTTACCGTGAACAACAATCCAGCAAGAGTCTTTGGAATTGTGCTGCTGCACTTCGGAGAACTTTAACATTGTGAGCGGAAAGTAAGGCAGAGGTGAGGATGAGGGTGAGGGTAAGGGTGAGGGTTATGTATATATTGGTGAGATGGGGGGGGGAGGGTAAAGGTAGAGGTCGAAGCCGTGCTTGCTGTAGCCAATCCGAGTTGGAGCAATTCCAAAAGAAATCCAGAAAGAGAGTCGGCGAGCGGCAACACAAGATGGGTAGTAAGACTCTCTTTTCTCTCTCACTACCTCCTCTACAGTACACAGTACCGTTGTCGTTCAGTCGTTCAGTCGTTCAGTCGTTCAGTCGTTCAGAAGAGCGTCGGCGACTCAGAACATCAAATCTCAAATTCAAAAAGGGAATCGGCTATCCAACCGCCAAGCCCGAGCCAACCCTCTCCTACTTCTCCTACTTCTCCTACTTCTCCTACTTCTCCCACTTCTTCCACTTCTCCCCGCTTGAGAAGTGACGGACGATGACGGAGAAGGAGATTTCGGACGAAACTTTTTGTTTTTGTTTTTGTTTTTGTTTTTTTTCCTTTCCCAACCTGTGTTTATATTTGTAATGCTAAGTATTGCGAGACATCAGGGCTTCGTTAGCGTAGTTGGATTATCGCATCCGTCTAATAGGAGATGCCTCAGAATCACTTCTCTGAGATTGTTACAACGGAAGGTCACTGGTTCGAGCCCAGTACGGAGCATTCTTTTTGGCGACGCTCAAGGTGCGATATGAGTGAAAGGACAGTTACTGCTGCTATTGGGGCAGAAACACTATACTCTTTCCACTTGATAGCGGCATATATACCCAAAGGTGGCAATTGTGCCTCTCAAAGATCAAGTCTCAAGGATCAAGTCTTAAAGGATCAAGTCTTAAAGGATCAAGTCTTAAAAGATCAAGTCTTCAAAGATCAAGTCTTCAAAGATCAAGTGGGACATCGAGTCCGGGACCAAGCAGTGCCAAATCACCCACCATATCGGCTCATATTCCCATCAACATCTTGCTGGATGCTATCCTTCAGCAGACTACATCTTGGCGAACAGCCGAGGGACAAGATAGGCGATGTGGAAGAGTTCAAATCTGCGGCGTCAGATGAAGCAAAGTTAATGTCAAAGCAAAGGTAGATCTCTCTATCTTTGTGGGTGCAGAAAGGGCTTTATGAAGTTCTTGAAACTCTGAGCAGCTTGTCATTCAAGCAGAGCTCGTCATCCATGACGAGCGGGAGAGAGAGAGAGAGAGAGAGAGAGAGCGGAGAGGGAGAGAGAGCTGGAGAGAGACTGAGTCAGACCCTGATGATTTTGGGTATCGCCTTGATTTGGGTATCGTCTTGATTTGGCTCTTGCCTCTCAACAACTCGGACCTGCTTCGTATCTCTGCCACCATCCGATCCTAGCATCAAGCGTCCACCTTTGTTGCTTCCAAACAGCCGCGCTATCCACCATCCTGCCTTCCAGCTTCCCGTCTCAGACCCATACATCGCTGCATTCTGTCTGCCGTCAAGCATCGCACTTGCTTCCATCAAACTCTCACCCCACCAGAAGAGTCATCCTGATACCGAGTCCATCCCTTGCCACTCTTGCCACTCTTGCCACCCTTGCCACCCATTGATATCCATCTGTTCAGCCGCTCTCTTCCGAGCTCAATCCGACACCCCATCATTCATCCATCTCACCCAGACTTGTGTGTGCAACCCTTAAGCCATCCAGTCCCTTGGGCTCCCAGCAACCATGGCCTTTGTCCATCACCAACCCCGGCAACAACGCCGCGATCGACGAGATCACCCCTCCGCTGCCCCTCACCACCGCCACCACCGCCAAGAACAAGAGCCACCGCAAGACTGGAGCATCGTCTTCCCCGGTCGAGCACGTCAACCACCCACCTCTCCCACCGTCCAACTCACTTCCCCCACCACTTCCCCCACCACTCCCACCACCGATCAAACCGATGATACAGGCCCACTCGCCCTCACCTTCCCCCCACTCCACGACGGTACAGGGCGATTCCTCGCCTCCCCCCTAAGTCCAGCTTCTACCGATGCTGCTCTCCACTTGAGCGGTGCTGATGACGACCAACTCTCTGAGCAGGCACGCCATTCCGAGCACCTCTTTCCCGAATCTGTGTTTAGTGGCACAGATTCGCAAATCGATGCAGATGAAGAGCTAGGTTTTGGCTCTGGTTCTGATTTCGACTTTGAAAGCGATGCTCTCGCTTCTTCGCATCCTAGTAGAAGCTCGGCTGGTAGAGGGGCTCCTAGGTCCGCCTCTCGTCCCAGACCCTCTAAGCCCAGTGATGTTAGTATTGGTAGCGATGACGATCATCTTGTGCATCCCGCACAGTCGCATAGTAGTATGCTCGGCAGCAAAGCTTGGTCGCTCTTGGGTCGAAGCTATGCGCTGGAGCGCCTGTTGGAAAGCCCTTCGCGATCAACACAGTTGTATTCCAGTGTCCGGTCTAGTAGACATCTCGGCCAGTCTAGACGGATGGCAAACGATCTTCCTCTTGCTTTCACTAGTCGGTCTGAGCGACAAGACAATCGTGACGCTGCTCCCCTGGATCGATCGAGTCTTAACGCTGACGAGGCAGATCTGGCAGCTAGCAACCTCGCTCAGAGTGCAGGTCTCTCCCACTTGCATCACAGCCACCTGCCCCGCCGACCCAAACGGAGACACAGACGTTCTGCAGCCGGCCGATCGAGCAAACGCAGCAACACTTCTCAGAATCTTCTGAGCATTGACTATGAATCTCGTCTACTCAACCCTCGTGCTGGAGCCGGAGCAACTCAAGGTAGGCTTGACACTGATGCAGCCCAAACTCCACATTCCTCAGCAACGCAAGCTTCGACCACCAAGACCACCCGCATGATCGGAACCATCCTGCGCAAGGTATTCCATCTTGAACCTGAGGTGCTCGATGCTTTTCTTCATGACGAGCAGCACCACCATCAACAACAACAACAGCAGCAGAGACAATCACCTGGATTTGCGTTCGATTCCCCTGAAACTCCCATCGTCTCGGCTCCTCTGGGTGAGGGTATGATGCTAGACGGTCGTAGCGAGAACGAACGATACTCGGCCGCCTCCGCCACCGCCTCCGACACTGAGGTTGAACATCTTGCCACCCTTGACCCAGCCGCGTCTCCTCTCTTTTCCAATGCTAAACCAGTTTCAGGCGAACAAGTGAATTCTTCTTCACTCCTGCGTCTCACCGAAGCTGCACTGCTCCAACGCACCCGTCCGAACGCTGCCTCACCTGGGATCATGGAACCGACAACGATGGAAGCCCTGTCAGCGTTTATGAATACAATCGTCATGCCTGTGCCCATGCCGTTTAGGCTTCTGGGCGCTTTATTCGGCTGGTCCAACCTCTGGCACTCGAGCTCTTCCCAGAAGGGAACCCAGCAAAGGCAAGAGAATGGCGAGAGAGCAGAGAGGGAAGCGGAAGAAGAAAGGAAATATAGATACGAGAGACTGCTCAGTGCTCAACAGGCAAAAGCTTGGAGTAGGAGGTATAGAGGCATTCTCTTTGCAAATGTCGACGATGAGCAACCGAGTCCAGATCTTCCCCAACTTTGGAGGGGTGAAGAACATCCTGCGATCGCAGGAGACCATAGATATGACTAGTTTCCACTGCAAACTGATACTGTATTGCTTTGTATTTGTACTAGCATCGCATGCACTGCTCTATCGATTCTAAAGGTAGCAAGTGCTGGATTTGGGATGGTGTTGTTTGATGCCCTGCAGAATCGTGCGAAATCCTGCGGAAAGAGAGGCTGCAGTTGGGTAAGCAACACCCTTTTCCCCTTTCCTAGCCAGCCTAGCTTGGCTTTCACGTTCGGTGGACGCTTGATCGATTGCCATGTGCTGTTGTTGTGGAAATGAATGAATGAAAGGCGGTCTCGGAACAGGCAACTGCCGAATGATTTGCATTCTTCGATAGGTTGAGGCAGCCATCCATCTTCACCTACGCACAGGTCTGAGTATGTAATCCCTTTCCAGCCCTTCCTCGAACCGATCCACTTTTCCACTCTCTCTCTCTCTCTCTCTCTCTCTTTCCACCATCGTCGATCGCATCTCCAACAAGTGTCGTTTGTCGAGATGAAGATTGCAGTTATAGGCGCCGGAGTCTCAGGTCTATCCTCCACTTGGGCTGTCAACGAGTACTCATGTCATGAAGTACACCTGTTCGAATTACTACCATGGATTGGTGGCCACGCCAACACCGTTTCTTTTGCTCCTCCTACTTGCGCCTCACCCTTATCCGTACCTTCAATTCCTGTCGACACTGGATTTATCGTCTTCAATGAGGTTACCTATCCCAACTTTGTTGCATTTCTCAAGCTTGCTGGAATTGCGATTCTCAACTCTGACATGTCGTTTTCTGTGAGCCGTTACTTGGAAGGTTATGGAGCGTTCGAGTGGGCAGGTGGTAGTGTCGGAGCGCTGTTTTGCCAGACGAGTAACCTTTTCAACCCTGGTCATTGGAGAATGGTATGGGATATAATCCGATTCAACCAACAATCCCTCGATTACCTCCGCACTTGCCACCAAAGCGAGAAACAAGGCCGGGGTGGGAAAAAGGAGGAGAGTATCGGCGAATGGTTAGATAAACGCAACTACTCTCCCTCGTTCCGCAAAAACTACCTGATCCCAATGACAGCTTCCATCTGGTCAACCGCTCCAGAAACCGCGCTCTCCAGTTTCCCCGCTTTGACCCTTCTCCGTTTCATGCACAACCATCACTTACTCCAGATCCTAAACCGACCACAATGGTTGACCGTCAAAAACGCAAGTCATTCCTACGTCCAACGCATTATGTCTAAGCTTCCCGAAGCGAGGTTACACCAGGGTCGGGAGAAGGGGCAGGTGGTAGCGGCATGGGTAGATGCCAAGACGGCCAAATGGACAATCAAAACTGCCGATGGTATGGAACAGAAAGGATGGGATAGGGTCATCTTTGCATCTCATGCAGATCAAACCATGCAAATCTTGACCCAAGGACATGCACTTGGGAACGGCGGAGAGGGAGAAGGGCTGAAAGAGGCTGTAGGACTTTTGGCGAGCTTTGCTTTTAGCGAAAACAGTGCCGTGTTGTACAGTGATGTGAGGTTGATGCCAAAGAGAAGGGAAGCTTGGTCAGCTTGGAATTTCTTAGCTGAAACTGTCACCTCTTCTGCTTCCACCGGTGCTGCAATCTGCAATGAGACTGCGAAAGAAGGAGGGAAACAAGTAGCAAACTCAAGCGACGTAGACCGTGTATCGCTGACTTACTACATGAACCTACTCCAGTCCCTACCCGAAAGCAAATTCGGCCCAATCCTAGTCACCCTAAACCCCACCACAGACCCCTCCTCCCCTTACACCCCCCGACCAGAACTAGTGCTTAAACACCAAGCTTACACACACCCTACCTATACCCGGCATTCCGTCGCTGCGCAGCGCCAACTCAGAGAATTGCAAGGCGTACAAGGTGCTTATTTCGCAGGTGCCTGGACCAACTATGGCTTCCACGAAGACGGCTTCAGCTCAGGCTTGAAAGCAGCAGAGCGGATAGAAGACGTGTATCTGCCATTTGAGATCAGGGATGCTGAGAGGCAGGTTTCGAGGCAGAAGCAGTGGCAATGCACCCTGGTCGAAAGGGTAGATGCCTTGGCAAGAGGTCCAGTGGTGAGGCGCGTGACAGGCGTCGTTTGCTGGCTGGTGGTGT